AACGAAGCTATCTTGATATTGTCAAACTACATCCCTATTCTTAAATAATCATTTAGTTTTATCAGCAATATTTTTATAGGTATACACTTTCAAGAAGTGCCTAATAGGACGAAACAGTTATTCAATCTTTCCTAAATTTTTTTCAATATTTGAAAATTTGCAACAAAACATTTAAACAAGATAAAAGTACACTTGGTATTGTTTGGCTTGTACCTGCTCATTGACGTTTAAGACTGCTATTGATCAGTCTGTTATTGGCATATGTGCATGTTGTGCGTATGCCTCAATATTGCCTTAATTCACAAGCTTTTTGTAAGCGATGATGGATAGTGGCTAGCAGTAAAATCCAGGACGCGCGTTTCGTCCTATTTGGGACTCGTCAGCTGGATGTACCGATCCGCATATTTACAACTGAAGAACATCTGGAACTCGAAACAACTGTCAATGAACACCAAGGTCAGAATTTTCAATACAAATGTCAAAACAGTTCTACTATATGGGGCGGAAATCTGGAGAACTAACAAAGCCATCATCCAGAAGATATAGGTGTTTATTAACAGTTGTCTACACAAAATACTTCAGATCCGTTGGCCAGACACTATTAGCAACAACCTACTGTGGAGAGAACAAACCGGATCCCGGTGGAGGAAGAAATCAAGAAGAAGTGCTGGAAGTGGATAGGACACACATTGAGGAAAGCACCCAACTGCGTCACAAGACAAGCCCTCACATGGAATCCTGAAGGTCAAAGGAAAAGAGGAAGACCAGACCTATGCTCCATTAGGAGTAACAGGCGTAAGTAAGTAAGTAATTAAGAAGTAACTATATGAGTTCATTAATCGAATTTAGTGTAGTGTTACAATTCAACTGATATTCTGATGAACAAGTCATAGCATCATATCATTTATAAAACCTTCACCTTTATTTTCATCCTTTTTTTAAATCTATCAATTAAATGAGTTTATTGATTGGTTCAAGAACCAAGTTCAAAACTCCGGCAATTCGCTCTCAAATTTAGTCACCAGTTTGCACAAAAATAGTATTATAGTTACATTTTATATTTTAATAACCTGCAAATAATAATCCTTCTTTGTGTATACATAATAATAACATTATCTGTAAACGACTAAGGAAAATAAAATCTCCTACTATAATCATACTATAATGAATGAGAATACATGTGAAGACAACCAAATGTATTTCAATACATTATAGAATATCTTGATAAAATCTGACAACCATACAGTAAATACTTCATTTACAAAATATCCAACAATTATCTTAGACTTTATTGTTCCTTTGTTTCCATATCAATCATTCTCTATTCCTAATCACTTCTTTTCAATTTTCTCTCAATTTTCTGCCGTCGGACATTTTACTTTCCATTGATAATACATACTACTTATATTTGTCGACATTAGTAGTACACATTAAAATACTCTTTAAATTTTTATTATAAATCATACATTCTACTGAATTTGTTTGTGTAATTTTTTTTAAAACAAAAAACAAAAACCAAATCTCATTTACATCCTATTAATACTTATGAAAATGGAAAGAAATGACAGACTACTAGTTCTTATTCCTTAGAGATTACATGGTACAATTCAAAAAAGAACATATGAAAAGTGTATAAAAAAGAAAAAAAGTATCATCCTAATTAATATTTCTGTATGTAGAATCTGAAACAATCATTACTGTTATTATTCTTAAACAAAACCAAACACCTTGATATTTATGGTTTATTTAAATAACCATTGAGAATAAATAAGTACTGAACTATTTATTGTTTTATTTATTTTTTTTGAGAAACACTTTCCATATTGAAGTAGTGAACAATGGAATTCAACCAAATTAGGAGTTGAACGAATAACACCAATTGTTAGTATAGGGGTTGTGGAGATTATTAAGTTTTTGATTGAGATCATGAACCGATTGATGTTAGACCACTGTTGGAAACCTGGAAGCACTGGACGGCCGTTTCGTCCTACTGCGGGACTCCTCAGTAGTGCCCATCCACGATCCCGCGAGCAGGATTCGAACCCAGGGCCTTCGGTCTCGCGCGCGAACGCTTAGCCTACTGGGCCACTGAGCCGCAATCCAATGATGATAGAGTTGATGTTAGACGGCTGTTAAACGGCCGTCCAATGCTTCCAGGTTTCCAACAGTTGTCTAATATCAATCGGTTCATGATCTCAATCAGAAACACCAACTGTATTAAAAGATGGTTATGCAACATTAGAAATTGATATTAAGCACTTGTTGCAATAAAACATGACAGTTCTAAATATGATTCTTGATCGTATTGTGAACAAAACACTTTAAATGAATCCTTATACTAGAAAAAAGAACTATTCACTAATTATTCCATGATAAATTTTGGTTGACTTTTAAGATTCATTATAAGCTGACTAGCGAACTTATCTATATAATAAATACAATTAATTAAAATAAATGAGTTGTGGTTTATTTTGTTTTTTTTTTAGTTGCCGACTGTTCTCCACCATTTTTTCCTCCTTTTTTCTTCTTTTGACTTTTGTGTTGTAATAAATTTATGCAAATCCTTAAAAGCAAAGATTGAATGTCCTCTATAATAAGATGAATGAAATTAGTTTGATCTAGGTTTATTATATAAAATATACAAAAATAAAATACAGAATAACAATAGATTACTGAATAAAAACGTATTTAATCAGTAGTATGTGAATGAATAAAAAAAATAGAAAGATTATAGAGAAGTAAAGTAAGTTTAACTTAGAAAAATGAATGTATGATCTATGTATATTATGGAGAAAAAGAAAGAAATCATGTATAGATATGCATTTTTATTTCAACTTGTTTGTAGACGAAGAAATTGGATAAGATACATATTGAGGAAAACATTTAAGTGTATCACAAGGTAAGATATCACTTAGAATCCTTATGATCAAAAAAAAGAAAAGGAAAACTAAAAACAGATTATGCTGAGAAACGGAGACAGAAATGAGAAGCATGAACAACAGTTGGATAGAACTAAAAAAGATGGCTCAGGACAGAATGAGTTGGAGAATGCTGGTTGATGGCCTATGCTCCACTGAGAGTAACAGGCGTACGTAAGGAAGTAAATTATCTCTTGAACTAAAGGTATTCAATATTCAAAGAAAAAATATTTTTTATTTTTAGTTAATCTAATACGATTTCTTTATACATATAACACTTTTTATATGGATTAGAGTGAAAATCATTCAGTTACTTGTTTGTTTTTTCTCAAATAGAAAGCGATCAATAATAGGATTATGGATTAGTTCAGTATGTTATTTGCTCATTTTGATATTTAATTGTATTCTGATGATGAATTTTATTAATTGGTTGAAGATAGGGGCAAAGAAACCTGTGTAACCTAGATTTCTTGGTGTTGGCACTCATCAGCAATGTGTGCACGTAATCATTAGGAAAATCCCAGACTGTAGTATTGAGTTGTAACGATTGAATTTTATTAGGAAGTATCACTTTTGTCAAAGTTACAAGTATGTCTGCCTGATGAGAACCAACTCGTTTGAAGTTTAGATTTAATGTTTCTTGTTGACTACCTCCAACCACCATCTTATCTCAACATAGTGCACGGAATGTCGAGTCACCTAAACAGGTGACACCATTGCAACTTCATCGATAGAATTCGACCGGCACTAAGAAGGACCTGACATACATGACATCGATCACCACACAGTGATCGATCAATTGTAAATTTGTGTAATTACTAATTTGTATGACTGTCTTAATAAATAATGTAAATGTAAAGAAAACTTATAGACTATGAAATCACTCACTTATCAATATATTGTATAACTATGAAATCTATATTATTGTTCACAAAAGATCAGACTGATATTGTAAAGTGGTGTACACGATGTTTGTTTCTTAAATAAAATCTCATGAAATATCATTTATTGAATGAATTGTTGGTTCTGGGAATTGGATGAGTATACATTCCGTCAGTCACTTAGTTTTCTATATATATATAGGATACGATTCAGTATTATGAATGGTGGATGCCTCAGTTGTGTTTTTCATTCTGTCTAACACTCGAATTCAAGTAAACTAGTTCATCACATCTAGAGTATATATGAATATTAACCACAAGATAATATAAACTTTTACAGTTAGGTTCCTATGCGTTAAACAAACTGATAGCTACCTGAACTGTTTATATTAATAAGAAGTACTTTAAGTACCGGAGCCGAGTCCTAACGTGAAAATCAACACACAACTTAAGATACATACATTAAATTAGTTTTAATCAGAATAGAATACATATCCTAGACTCTAATTTTAGCCACATGTGAAAAATACATTTGTGAATAAATCTGTTTAACTTGACATGCAGTAAGTTATATATAATAACTGGATGAGCATTGTTGAGAAGTTTCATACTAGGACGAAACGGCCGTCCAATCCTTCTAGGTTTCCAATGATGGTCTTACATTGATCGATTCATGAATTCAATACAATTCAAAAATCTCGACAACCATAAACTGGAAATGATCATGTGCTCACTAGTGACTAACTTGGAGAGGGAATCCTCGAAGTTCTAGTGAGAAGCCATGACCAGTGGAGTTGATCCGTGCCAGATGGGAGGCAGTTACTCACTAAATATAACATAAGACGGTCGAACAATATCGTGGATTAATTGCAGTCGGAAATTAACACCGTTGGATCTGGACTCAGTAATCTGAAGGTTAAGTATCCACTTGAGACCGAAAGTCCTAGGTTCAGTTCCTGCGTGCGAGATAGTGAATGCGCACTGTTGAGAAATTCCATACTAGAACGAAACAGCCATCCAGTCCTACAAGGTTTTCAATGGTGATCTGACCATGATCAATTGATGATCTCGATCAAAATTCAACAATCTCCACAACTCTATACTAATAATTATATATAAAAATTAAGAATATCTTCTTTTTAATATCTATGCTAACATATAACTATAATCAACAATAACATGAAAAATAAATAAATCCTACCCTAGCTGCTTTAGATGTATGCGGTTTTTCTAATAAATTCCATCCTTGTCTTTTTAAATTTGCATAACAACCAGAACCAAATTCATCAATAGTTGTTGTTTGTCTTAGACAATTTTCTTCTTTTTAACTTCATCTTCAATTAAATCTTTTTGTTGATGATAACGATGTGAACAACATGCTTTTATAAAACTTTCATTAACACCCCAATAAATTAATTCATCTTTAAAATCCATAACACAAATCATATCATTATAATGTAATTTTTAGATCGATAAAAATTTAATATCATTGAAAATATGATTGGATTACGATCAAAATAATATTCTTTATTAATAGGATCATAATCATCGCATAAATTTAATAATTCTTGTAAATTAGTTACATGATGTAATTTACCTAATCTTGTATTTGGATAACGATCAACAATATGCCATAATATTTCATGTTTAATACCGCCAACATTAATTAATGCACGTTTTGATTGATTATTATTATTATTATTGAATAATTTCATTGTAGATAATTGTGAATTTAATGGTATAGATGATAATTCATAATTGATATGATTTTGTTTAGTATTTAATGGATCATTTATTATTGATTTAATTAATGGTTCAGTTATTGATTGTTTACAATTCAATAAATCAATATTATTATTATGATTTATTGATAATGATTGATTATAATATGATTTGGGTATATTATTATAATTAGGTGATTGATGATGAATATTTGATAAATGTAAATTAGAATTTTGATCTTTATGATGATCTAAGTTTTCATCAGTAGTAGTATATTGATTATGACAATGATATAATTTATTGATGGAATTAAATGTTCTATGATGAATTTTATCTAAACTATTATATAATATTGGTAAATAAGGAATATTTGAATGATTGAATGAATGATTATAAATTTGTTCATTTAATTGACAATTCATTGAATGATGAACATTTTCAAAAGTATCTTTACGTTTCAAATTCAAAAATAAACTAGATGGTTCTGATCTCCAATTATGTTTCATTTTATTACTCCATGAATGGATTGATTGTTGAGGATCATCATGACAATGATGATGATGATAATGATAATAATGTTTATCAAGTTGATTATCTACAATAGGATGAATGTTTTCTAAATTATGTATAGGTGATTGTTTTTCATATTTTACAACTACTAATGGTTCATTTATTCTTGTTATTTCATTATGTTTTGTTATAGGTGATAATATAACAGATGTTGATCTCATTTTATTTGATTTCATGAATAATTCTTGATTTATTGAAACTCTTGGATTACTTTCTGATTTCATTTGAATTGGTTCATTTGATGAATAACTTGATCTTGTATGAGAATAATAATATGGTAGAGATGATTGTGAATCATGGATTGATTTTTTCCAAAATGGATCAAATCGATATTTTTTGTTCCTTCTTTTTATTGTTGATAATGTTTTATATAAATGATTATCAGTTTCTATATAAGTAGTATTTAAATCTTGTGAATCATCTTCTTTCATTCTTGTTTTTTCCTCTTTTTACTACGATGGTTTATAAGAATGAAATGGGTTTAATGGGTAATTGATCATTAAAATTGTACTTGTTTTATTAAAGAGAATAAGAATTAAAAATTAACATTTGATAGCATAACAACAGCAAAAAAAACAAAGACACTCATTATCATTTTCAGAAAAATGTCACATTTTAAGTCAATAATATAAAATAAAAAATGGTACTGATTTGTGATTTGATCCCTAAAAATAGACCAATAGAATGACATGAAATAATTTTCTCCCATATATCTCATAACCAATCAGGTTAATATAATAATAATAATGATTATTAAGCATTTTGAAAAGCATTGGTTGCAATTGCATGACGCCATGAAAATGGCGGGAACAGTCAGTTGTGGGTTTGCGAAACGTCCCGCTTTTAAGCACTGGGTTTCTTCTGGTTCCTTACAACTCATTGAAGCCCGTCGGTCTACTCCGGGTGACCGTGAGTTTGACCATAAACGAAGGATGTTACGTAAGGAAATTGGGCAAAGCTTGCGTAAGGACCGAGAAGCCTGGTGGTCGATGCGTGCTAATGAGCTGGAAGCAGCAGCTGCATCTGGTAACTACCGGAAGCTCTTCCAGCTCATCCGAGCCACTGGCAGCAAGAAGTCTGGTGTGAGTGAAACAATCTGCGAGGATGATGGGATGCCAATCACTAACATCCATCGACGTCTTGGACGATGGGCAGAATTTTTCGAAGGGCAGTTCAACTGGCCTGCTGCTCCGGCAACATCGGTCAGACTGTCCTGCCCTCCATGGCCGGTGACGACTGATCCACCAAATGAGGAGGAAGTCCGCAAGGAACTCCAACTCTTGAAGCGTTACAAATCACCTGGCCCAGATGACTTACCTCCGGCTCTTTTTAAAGATGGTGGTGACTTTTTGACTAAGGAATTGACGACGTTGTTTACAAAGGTTTGGGAACTAGAGAGTGTACCAACGTCATGGAATGAGTCGATAGTTGTCCCTATCTTTAAAAAGGGTTCACGTCGTTCCTGTAACAACTATCGGGGGATAAGTTTACTTCCGATTGCGTCCAAGCTATTGGCTTCCGTCATTCTTCGTAGGTTGTTCAAAACCCGAGAAAGATTGACTCGCGAGGAGCAGGCTGGGTTTCGTTCTGGTCGAGGATGTATTGATCATATCTTCACCCTCCGCCAAATGTTAGAACACCGCCATACTTTTCAAAGGCCAACAATCGTAGTGTTTCTTGACATCAGGGCTGCCTTCGATTCGTTGGACAGGACTGTTCTCTGGGATTGTCTATTGAAGAAGGGTGTGCCTGAGAAGTTTATTAACATCCTAAAAGCCCTATATAAAAACACCTCAGGCAGAGTGAGGGCATACAACCACCTCTCTCCATTGTTCCATTCGAGCAGTGGGGTTAGGCAGGGTTGCCCAATCTCACCATTCCTCTTCAACTTTGCCATCGATGACATTCTGGAAACAGCTCTGATGAATGTAAGTAATGGTGGTGTGGATCTGTTGCCTGGAGAAAGACTTCTCGACCTTGAGTATGCGGACGATATTGTCTTACTGTGCGATAATGCCCAAGGCATGCAATCCGCACTTAATCAGTTGGCAATCAGTGTCCGTAGGTATGGTATGTGCTTTGCACCTTCGAAGTGCAAAGTACTTCTACAAGACTGGCAGGATTCTAATCCTGTACTCACCCTGGATGGTGAGCAGATAGACGTAGTCGAGAAGTTCGTGTATCTGGGTAGCTGCATAAGTGCTGGTGGGGGTGTGAGTGATGAGATCAATGCACGAATAGTGAAAGCCAGAGCGGCTTATGCCAATCTGGGCCACCTTTGGCGCCTTCGTGATGTTAGTCTGGCTGTAAAAGGTCGGATCTACAACGCGTCGGTGAGAGCAGTTTTGCTCTATGCTTGTGAAACCTGGCCTCTCCGAGTTGAGGACGTTAGACGACTCTCTGTGTTCGATCATCGCTGTCTCCGAAGGATTGCTGACATTCAGTGGCAACACCATGTCAGTAATGCAGAGGTTCGGCATCGTGTGTTCGGGCACAGAGATGATAATTCAATTGGTGTCACCATCTTGAAACACCGACTTCGGTGGCTTGGACATGTTCTCCGAATGTCGTCCCAGAGAATTCCACGTCGTGCATTATTTGCCGACTCTGGGACTGGTTGGAAGAAGCGGAGAGGTGGTCAGTGCATGACATGGTGTCGTGGCATGAAAGAAAGCTGCAAAGGACTGGCTTGTGTTGGTCCTTCACGACTCCCTGGTTGGGGTCCGAGAGATGGTGCTACACAGTGGCTAGAGACGTTATCAGATATGGCTCAGAATAGAAGCCAGTGGCGATCCTGCTGTAACCTTCTTTTACTTTCTTCATAAAAAGTGGTTGTGTCTCCTTACCTGAAAGATTTCTTCTGATTGTACCTTTCCGTTCCCTCGTTACTACCACACTACCTTACACCAATCTCTTCGTTATTGTTCTCTTTTTCTTTTGCGCTCCTTAGTTTTTTTCTATTTCTCTTCGAATTCTCATTGTTTTGTGTGGCGCATATATATTGGCGCTCTCTTGTACCAATATTCATGTGTTCAAATAAATAATAAATAATAATTTTGAAAAGAGTAAGAAAAAAACATTCTAGCAGAATAGTATGGATTCATTTTTTGATTTCGTTGGTTCTCGTCAACTGCTTACAACTCGTGATATTTATAAATCATAATTACATAATGGGTTTAAATGACTTACATGAAAGAGTTTGATTGGAAGTTATATTGAAGACATATTCGTATAGCATAGCAAAGGTGTAAATAAATTGAATAGACTGGATATTGTAAATATATACCTTATGTAAAAGGACATTGTGACAACAGTTCAAACGGCTAGAAACAAGTAAACATTGATATAGGAATAAAATGAGTAGAGTTCAGTTGGTAAATGATGTAATAAGTGCAAGAAACAGTTTAAAGAAAAAGAAAATATATATATATATATTAAGATACAGCGAAGGAATATTAGTCACCAAGGCAAGGAAAGATTAATAATCATCTCCTTTTGAACACAAATCAGGCTTTTGGCGTCTGATAGCAACTGCTTCAGCAAACTTCAGAAGACTGGAGTTTGGCTGCATTTGATAGTTTTGCTTGTTTTTGATATTTTTTTCTATAAAGATCTTACGCCTTATTACAAATTAACTTGATAACGATAATTGTACATTGAATGAGTAATGCAAGATAAGGAGATAGAACCTCAATTACATAGTCAATGCCGTATTATATAGGATAAAGATAAGATTATTTATGTGAATTACAATCAATTCTCATATGATTTCATAAATCTGTGGATAGTAAAATGACAAGACAACAGCAAATTTCTAGAATCAGATATAAATGACTTTTTATTATTTAAGGATATATATATCACTTATAAATCACGTTAGCATGTTGAGATTACATGATGGTTGGAGGTAGTCGACAGGAAACCCTGGACCCGGGTTTCGTGCTACTTGGCACTCGTCAGCAAGGTGTACCTGTAATCTTGAGGGAACTGGTGCTCCTTAGTGGATTCGACCCCGTGTCACCCAGCTTCACATGGTCGATAGCATTCGATCTGAACTAAATAAGGACTTGAAACGCATGACATTGATCACCACCCAGTGATCAACCAATTGTGATCATGTTAACATGTATTTCATATATCTACATTCTTTAAACTGTCTAACTTACAAAATGACTTTTCAAAAGGATTCATCAAAATTGTAATATTATGTTGGTAATGGAATTGTGTTTTAATGATTCAAACTTCCAACTCAAGTTGATGTGCTGTATTCAAACTCATTTTGGTTAAGACCACATTGAAAGTTAATTTCAATGAATTGACTATAAGCCAATTGATTTCATATTTGACTAAGATTCAAAGTAAATAAACATTTTATAGATTTAAAACATTGAGGGGATTACAGTAGTTGAAAAACGTTACATGATGCAACTTTATCCTTTCTGATTAGAATTTTTAGAAAAATTCTTGAATTAACCCTATAACTTTAAGTTTTTTTACGGTTACTACTCTAAAATTCTTGTTATATTGTTGATTAAACTTGAAACTCTCGAAGCTAAGTTGACTTTTGTTAGTTCCTTTTTACATTACAGTAGTTTATTAGCTACAGTCATCGTACTTTAATTAGTGTTTCACTCTGTCGAAATGATATTGTCCTATCAAAATTCATGAAGATACTGAGGAAAATTAAAAAAAATTCCTTCCATCTCTTTCCCTTAAAGCTTTGACTGTGATTTAAGAAATTTGATATTAAGTTTATGTCCAGTAATTGAAGAACACTTATAACCGTTTATTTTGTTAATTTCTGAATGATTATACTCAGAGTTTATGCTGCCTAAAACGGTTGTTTTTAGCTGAAGTGTAGAATATTACTTGTAAATCAAATCCAAAATGTATGAACTTTGCATCTTCTGTAAACGTTATATCTCCCACATTTAGTATTTTTATTGCATTCTGTCGAATAAAATTCTAAAATCTAACGTTTACTGAGATTCGTTTCTTTAGAACGCTTTTTCCTTGATGCTATAACCACCTACCTATATCCAATTGAAATAGAATCTATATTGATAACTAGGAAGAAATTGACATTGTGAAAAAAGATTCATACTATTCACCTAAACATTATTTGTAAAAATAATATTTGAAATAATCTTAGCGAGTGGAATTTAGATAATTCCAAAGTTTCGTACACCAAACTTGTCTGGACTTCTTCAGGGTATTAATAATTTGTTAGATAGATAGATAGATAGATAGATAGATAGATAGATAAGCGCAAATCATTACATACCGATCAATCAGCATATACATCACCACCTTATAGAAAGTCACCTGATGGTCAACCATCAAACATCATTTGAACTATTGAGTTCGAATCCCACGGTGGATATTCACTCTCAGGCTTGCACATAAGCCTTGGTAATGAGTGCCACTTAGC